TAAGATATGTAGGTTTTTTATTGTACAGTGATGTTGATGGATTTTTTTCGTAAATAATATTCGTTATGTAATATAATTTGATAAATATGAGTGTACAACATCCCTGTATAATCGATAATATACAATTTTAAGTTGAAAATGTAAAAAAAAAAAAAAAAAAAAAAAAAAAAAAAAAAAGTAAGATGAAGCAATAATATGATTATAGTTTTTTTTTTTTTGGCCAAAAAGATTTTATTATCCCATTATGATAAAGCGATTGGGGGCCTCGTTAAAACCTTGTGGGCCAAAAAGATTATTGTACCTACCTGGGCGTCGAACCCTCATTGGTTCAGTTAGAAATTAAACTTTTTACAACTTGAGATGTAACAATAAATTATTTTTGGAATATAAATATCACATATAAAATATTTATTAAACAAATAATACATTGGGGCCTCGTTAAAACCTTGTGGGCCAAAAAGATTATTGTACTTACCTAGGCATCGAACCATGTTTTGTGGGCCAAAAAGATTATTGTACTTACCTAGGCATCGAACCATGTTTGGTTCAGTTAGAAATGAAACTTTTACAACTTGAGATGTAACAATAAATTATTTTTAGAATATAAATATCACATATAAAATATTTATGAAACAAATAATACATCATTACATAGCCCCCGGCGAGGATCGAACTCGCGGCCTTTCGCTTACGAAGCGAACGCAATACCACTATGCTACGGAGGCGAATTTTAAGATTATAGTTGACTATAATGATATATAGTCTATTCCAAGTAGTAAAATTTTCGGGAAAAAAAAATCAGTGAAACAAACTTAATTTCTTTTTTAAAAGATTATTAAAAAAATTACTAAAAAATAATTAAAAAAAATGTAAATATTATATGCAATCTAGATAATGATATATGTCCATTTATGCAAGGTTGGGAGTTTTCGGTACATAAAATACTAGGGGGTCTTACAAAGAATGCATTTTAGGGGCGGAATTAGTTCTATATATTAACAACGTGTTTTTTTGAATCACCGAGATGCAATTGATTGGCATATTGCTAAAGGCCCCATAATAATCATAAGTAGGAGAGGAAATGAATTACGTACGAAGAGAAAAAAAATAGAGAGAAGAGGAAAGAAAATTATATAAACTCAGTCTTTTTTCCCTCATTGATTATTTGTGAGCACAAACACATGAATACTAGGCTCAGGGGCGAGTCCACCCCTTTGGCAGGGTGGACTCAAGCCCATACTCAATTTCTAAATTTTCCTTACATTTTACCTATATATCTATTAAGCCCACCTATTTTTTATTAATTAGTCCACCGAAAATTCAAATTAATGCAAAAGAAACTTCAATTATTGTTAATTAGCTCACCCAAAATTTAAATTAATGCAAAAAAAATCTTTTTATTATTTTTTTTTTTATTTCTTCCTTTTCTTTTCCTATTTTCTGATTTTGTCAGAAAAAAATCCTAAATTTTTTTTAGGGGCGCTGCCCTTGTACCTTCAAAAATTAAGCCCCTCTTGTACTAAATTCCTGAACCCGCCACTAACTATATATATATATATATATATCACACTAATTCAAAACATTCAATATTATAGTCGAGGATAGACCCATCTTTTTTCAAAAATTAAATTAATAAATTTGAAATAAAACTTAAACAATTGTAGTCGATAAGTAATTAATTATGTCCACCGTGTCATTTTTCTGATAACGTACCAACAATGTGTTGGTATTCAATTCCACATTTCATATATAATTCGTCAGAATCCAGTTGAGGATCAAGCACGATTAGTAATATTCAACTTGGACCATTACTTTGCTATGTATTGCAATCATATCGATTAAAATGCAATTCACATCGTTTTTTTTAGAATAATGGGATGTTTAACTCGGAAAAAGCAATCGGCAAAAGCCTTAATATCGTATTTAGGACTCAATTCATTTTTCCTTCAATATAATGATAATACTAGGAGAGAAAACGAATATACAAAATAAAAACGAAAAGAAAAAAAGGAGGGGGGAAACACTATGATAATGATTTTTTTCTCTTATTATTTGTGGGCAAAAACACATAAATAATGTACACCTCTAAATAAATATTTATACAATATATCCACGTGATTTGTTTTATAAAGAACTAGCATTTTTTCCCCGTGCGATGCACGGAATATTATTTCTAAAGTAAAAAAGAATAATCAATTTTATATATAATAAGATAATATAGTATAGTAACGTAGTTTATTTAATAATGTAGTGTTATAAATGTTACATATTAAGATTTAACAAATCGAATTTCTATATGTATCTCTTAAGATTTGAGATATATTGATGAAGAATAGGAGGTTAATAATTGTTGAAAATTATAGTTAGAAAATTAGTAGATAAAAAAATATTAAAAATAAATAATTAGAGAAAAACCGGGTTTTTAGGGTTGCCCAACGTTTCTTTCTTTTATATATAAGATAGTTGTTTTTTCTTTCTTGAAATATCCAAATATTTAAATACCCTGAAATAATTGTGTCATGTTCAAAATGGTGTTTTATACCCTCAAATTCCCAAAACAATAAAATAAAATCTAAAAGGGTATTGTTGGAATATTATGAAATATTATAACATTATTTTCGTGTAAAGCACACCCTCACATAGAGAACGAGACAACCATTTCTTGATTTCATTTCTTCCCTTTGTTTTTTTCTATATATGTTAGATCTTTCGGTAGGTCTTATATATATATAATAATTATATAGAAGCACATTTGAAGACACATTGGTATGTGCATTTGTGTGGGTTATTTGTACATGTTCGGTAAATGTTAATTAAATCATGAGGTTTGTTGTCTTTTCTATTGATTTAAATAACAAAAGATTGTTTCATATTTTTAAAACTAGAAAATGGAGTGTTTCTGCATTGAAAACACCATCCCGCAACAAATCGAACCAGTTGTGGATGTGGATGTTGTCGCAGTTGCTCCACTTGAGGAAAAGTTCGAGAATGTGGGCGGACATAATCATCGATTGGCGGCGGCGGCGGCACAAGTAATAAACATGTGGTATGCATTAGCAAGAGAAAGTGAGGGCGCCCTAGGAAACAGCCACTGATGAACATGCCACAACAATTTGTGGTGATGCCGGAATATTTTATCACTCCTCCTATGTGGGGAAGAGAAGTTTTTTTATTTTTAATTTGGTTATTAATGTGTGAAGCGGTGTTATTGAAAACAAATCAGACTGGTGGATCTGACAATTTTTTAACAGCAAATCGGCCGCATGAACGAGTTATTGACAAATTAGGGTTTGGGTGGTTTCAGAAATTTTATTGTAATTATTTTTTATTTTTTATTTGGTTATTAATTTGTTAAGCAATTTTGTTAAAAATTAAACGAACATGTCGATCCGATCTATTTAACAGCAAATCGGCTGCCAGTACGAGTTATTGACAAATTAGAGTTTGGGTGGTTTGGAAATTTTTCTTGCACTTATTATTTATTTTGAATTTGGTTATTAATGTGTTAAGAAATGTTGTTAAAATATAAACAAATCGGACTGATCTATCCGACCTATTTAACAGCAAATCGGCTGTCGGTACAAATTATTGATAAATTACGGTTTGGGTGGTTGAGAAATTTTGTTGTACTTATTATATTGATTTATTGAACTTTAATTAATAATCATAAATTTGTTAATTAAAGGTATGTAAAGCAAATGTATGAAAATAAATTACAGATTTTTTTGGGAAATTTTGAATATATTTTTGTTAATTATTTGTATATTAAAAAAAATCATTTTAGGCACCACATTTGTGCAATTCAAGTGCATCTAATTCCCTCACTATGCGCAACAAATATATACTTAATTTGTGAATAAAATTTTAATTTATTTCTAGTTATGTCAAAAGAAAAAAAAAATAAAGAAAAAACAAAAAAGGGCCAAAGACATAAAATATTCTTAAACTTCATTTCTTATCATTGTGAAGGTGAAATCTTTTATAATATTAAATAAATTGTATCTCGTCGTCAATTCTCTCACAAAATGTTCAGAAAATTTACTCCAAGACTTGGTTAATTTAAAATTATTTCTTTACTTTAACGTGTAATAATGAAAAATATATATGGTAATAATGAATACAGTATGGCAGAACAACGAATAAACTCTCATAAAGTAAAAAAGAAGAAGAAAAAAAAGGTGAAAATAATAACGCACGTGCACTTTCTAGTCTTACAAACGAAGTGATAATAATTTCAAACTTAAAGATTGAAAAGACATTGAAACTCAATTCATCACACAGTTAAACCTCTATAAATTAATACTGTTGGGACCATCAAAATTTCATTAATTTAGCGAAATATTAACTTATCAATAAATTAATAATTATTAATTTATACATTAATTAATAAATTATTAATTTATAAAATTACTTTTATTATTATTTTCAATAAATACATTTTTTTATTTTTTTACGTGTATATTATTCAGTGTACCATTAGTTCAATGCATTATAGAGCCCGTTTCACGAACGGAAGCTCTTAAAGCCGCAATGATATAGAACAATTTTATGTTGAGTTATGACAAAACTATACCGAAAGTTCTAATCATGTTAAGAAAAGTGAGGGACGAGATTGATGGTAATTTGAACTTCAACAAGAAACAAGCAACAATTAATTATACTGTATTAAGCTTTCATAGATCTATAAAATATGTACTATACCATCTAATTTAAGAATTATTTTTATTCATTATTAATTTATATATTATATGGGGCTTCTTAAATTTTTCGAATGTGTATTATCTTATAAATTTAGCGAATTATTAATTTAGCACGTTGTCCCCGAGTCGGGACCGGGAAAATTTATTATTTAAGCGAGATTATTAATTTATCGGGTATTAATTTATCGAGGTTCTACTGTATTAATCAACCACCAAGTTTTGAACAATTGATCTCAAATTGAATAACAAGTAACTTAACTTGTTTTGAACCCTAAAATTTTTATAAAGTAAATAAATAAATAACCGAAAAAATAAATTTTACTCCAGCGATATCCTATTATGAACCTAACACAACATGTACTGCTTTGAATTACAAGAACAACATTTGACCGGACAACATCCGCAACAACTCTGGCATATCTTCTAATCCTATAATCCGAGACGAAGAAGAAAGAAAATCAAAATATATATGAATCTGATCAAAATGGATTTCAAAAATCTTTCATCCTCAAATACATTTTTTTGCACATAATCCGACTCAGCTCACTTAAATAGACTAGAAAGCGCAGAGGCATTTTCATGTACCTTATTAGGTTTTACATGATTATTATCTTTCAAAATCCTCTTCTCGTTCACATTCTTATCGGAATGTTGCGGAATCTCTTTAATAACCGACTTCTGTGGTGGATTCGTTACTTGCATTTTGTCGTCTTCTTCGGCTTTTACGGATCCTCTTTCTGCAGTATTTCTGTAAAGAAGAGTTCTCAATATTATCTTACCGAGCACAAACCTATTCTCACATATGTTCCCATCTTTCAGCAAGTGATAATCTATCCCTCCACTTCTTTCCTTCGCCTTTATAGTTTCAACATCTCTCGTCAAAATGTTAAAAATATTCTTCACATATTGCCCCATTTTCTGGGATACAAACACCTGAAATTACAAAATCATTACTTAATAACTGTCAATATCGGACGAGTAATAATACATATAAATAAATTACGAACAATTACGAACCAGTTAACTCCTATGATCTATACTTTAAAAAAATTATTCTTGTAGCTTCTTCAGGGTAAACCACATTCAATCTAATCGAGAAAAGTTTTATCGGTAGTGTACACAGTAACGTAGCAGAAACAGTTGATACAGAAATTACAAAGAAGAAAACTAAAATATTCATAAAAGAACTCTCTTTAGCTTGAATAATAAAACATGTTATGCAGATCTAATGAAGAATTAAATTCTAGGTTAAAAATTAGTACAGGAAAAGCTAACCATTAACATTAAGGAACGTATGCCAAGCTGATTATCCACCTGCTCAGAAATATATGCTGCCTACAATAAAGTAAGACTTAACCACGTATGTTTGGCTCAAAGAGTTCTAACTTTTGAACGAACTAACTAGACTTACATGAAATGGAAGCAAAATCTCAAGCAGATTGAACCTTTTAAGCAAAAGAAGGGAGGGCTCAGCAGCTCCATATGATAACATATTATTCATCTCCAAGCCTATTCTAGACTGAAGAAGCAGAAGAGTTGCATTAATGAAAATATGTCATGAATATGATGAGAATCATAAAAAGGTTTCATAAGGAGAAAACAAGCGAACATAGAGCGGACAGAAACTAAAATATCAGGTGAGCAGACTGTCAGTCCAGTAATTATAGAATACCGTGCTAAGGTTGGCAACCAATGAAGAGAGACTGTATAAAGCAACCTCGGTCTCCTTCGAAAACGATAAGTTAAGACGAGCTGCAAGTCTTAACCCACGTAAAATCCTGGCTGAAAGAAGAACATGTTTTAGTAGAGGTATTTTAAATTTAAAAAATTACTGTTTCGTAAGTTGAATCAAGGATATTGCAAATTTGCATGATAGTGTCAGATGCAACAACCTTCATCTTCTTTGAAAGACCGTTGAGCTGGTATTACTGTGCTTAGCTGTTTGTGCCACAAAGATCAACTTAACAAACTTTTAAGATCACCAAGGTAATATTGTTTGCCTTAAAGAATATAGCTTACCTTCAAAGACCTCAAATCTGCCATTGCATTTGTGTAGTCAAAGATGACATTTACCGCAGGATCAAAAAACAAGCTGTTTCAGAATTTAGCACATAGCGCTCTGTTAGTTTACAGGCTCAAGAAAAATCAGAAAATGAAAAATAACACAGAATATATTCCTTTCTCAAAGAATAGTGAAATAACACTGGAGTTGGTAAAAATGTCGTTCAAGACCATTGAGCAGCACAAACCAGCAGGCATTTATGTTAACATTCTTTCTATTAGTGATTTTCTTCGCCGTGGTTCTCTGGGACGAGATAAAAGAAGATGTTGTGTTCACATAAAACAATCCTAACTCCTCAAATGCTCCCAAACAAGCATCTTCTTGTGAGACTGTCCTCAGCACTGTCAGCAATTTATTTCTCCCATAGTCATGAATAAAATTTTATCCTAATTAGCACAACATACTAGCCCTCATGCAGTTACTCTCACTTGGATTTGACTCTCGTTAAATACTTAATATTTTGTAGCACCATCGTTTCAAGTGCATTAACTGTATTTTAATAAGTCTAGAATCAACATAAATAAGAACTGCAATAACCACTAGCAACACGAAAAAAAATGTAAACAATAAATGTAAATTTGCATGATTCAGGCCTTCGGTTCCCCAATTTTAACTATTCCTACTAGATAATATCATTAATTCCATGTAGGCTAAGAAGGTATCGAAAATAAAGTTGTTTTGTATAATAATAGAATTATCTAGGTTATTCATTTCACCACTATAAAGTAGCAGGAGTTAGTTAAATATCTTAGCTGAGGCTGAGAACAATCAGTATAGCCTTCCTCGGGAGGAAAAGCAAGAAATCAAATTAGAAGTAATTTTCATTCAGAACAGTGAAGAATGAAACCTGTTAACTGTGAAGTCTCTGCTCATGCAATTTTTCCAGCGAGCAAAGTCCCTTGGATTGCAACCTTTCGGCATTTCAGAGATGTCAACTTGTTTACTTTTGGATTTAACAGCTACAGTCTCAAAACTCGATACCTAAAAACATTAAAGTAGATAATGCTTGGCCAGTATAATGCAGCGGACAAGGTTATTGACAAGTCCGACTAGTAAATTTTCTATCAATAGAGATGTATGCAGAAGCTCAAAAACCAAAGTGATGAGCACTAACCTCCACTAAACAGCCTTTTATGATGACCCTACAGATAGGAAATCTTTTTCCAACAATTATTGCACGCTGAAACTTCTTCTTGACCTACATCGGATACATTTACATATATATTTGAAGCAAGCTACTCCAGTTTCATTTGCTGAGAAATGACTTAACACGTTAGAAATAACCTGTTTAAGTGATGCTGTTGTGATAACATCAAAATCTTTTGGTACTTTATTTAGAAGTAAGTCTCTAATACATCCACCAACTAAGTAGGCCTCGAACCCTGCACATTTTTAGTAACAAACAGCAAGCATGATCACAACAGGACACCACTTTGGTATACAAAGGAAAATGTAAAAGAAACATATGTTAGCAGTTTAAGTTTAATATATATTGGAGCAGCTAGTCGTCTACAACGTTACGAGAGACCTCAAAAGGCAAGAAAATCATCCTACAGTAGTTCATTTAGTGCTCGAATTAATGTATGTATAAGTTAGTTCAATTAATATAATTTATGGGGATTATCCCCAGTGAAAGCACTAGTTTATAATTACAAATCCATACCAAAAATGCTTGAAGAAAGACATGCAAGATTAGGCAGCATCTTTCTTATTCTGACGATATGAATTACTTCTAAATTACCCTTTACCTCTAAGGCTATTTGTTTCCTCTGATCTTTGCATGACATTCACCATAAAATAATGTTTTTTAATTCAAGTGTGTTCATCGTACAAATATTAAGATCATTCAAAGCAAATTGTTGCTTGATTTTCATATTGACTGTCTTTGAAACAACGCTTTTCTGACACAAAATACAATTAATGGGAAACCAAAAATACTTTACTAGGTGACTCTATGTGGATACTGGCAGAATTTGTATCCTTACTACAATTTTGTATTGATATTCAATTGTCAACATAAACCAATGAAAGAACAGATGCAGTTCTTATTTGTATGCATCTTTCCACAAAACGGGATGGTGATCCTTATTACATTGTGGGGCCAATTATCACAGAATAGTTTTAAAGAGCATAATATTGATCTTGAAATAGACTTCTGCAGTTGATTATTGGCAGTTGAATCGTGTTTATAAATCTCAATTGTGAAGAGGATATATGTAAAGTAGCTACGAAATAAACTCAATCAAGATCATCTTTGTTGCAGTGACAGAGAAATGAAAGGAGTTAAAATGACAAGTAACAAGCAAACTGAATAGGTCAATTCCCAGAAGAATAAATCTCTTTATGAAAAAGCGTGATTACAGCTCCATTGTCATATATGTGGCAAAATGAGTTGGTTGAACTCTACAATGTCCGTACCATGATATTTTTGGAGACTAGAAGAGGTGTAACATAGCATTGAACTCCACGGATAATCAATTTCATTAATCAACTATAGGTTCCCTTCTTTTTGCATTACGTAAATGGACCAAAGTACCAAACATCTCAACTATAGTATATACATGAGTACACACAGTACACTATTTCACATGATAAGAACCACACATAAAATAAAATATATGCTGGCAAGGATGGCCTTTTGCCTTAATGATCTGCCTTTATAAAAGGCAATAGTGGATAAAATGGAAGCTAAAGAGATTCAGTTTAATTAGTAATTCTGCAATTACTTTGTCAAGTTTGGCGAATAAAGAAAACTACATAAACTACATATAAGCTCATATGAAAATGGCACCTGCAGCTCGCAGATTCCGTAGAACTACCGAAGCAGGAATAGATATCATTGACCTTCTTAGCCCCAAATTCCTGGAATCTATCTTTCTCCATTTTGAAATCTCAACTTGACCTAAAAACATCGTCAAACATTTTGAATTATAAATTCAAGAGTACAATCATGTGAATGTATTAAACAATATGCATTGGTAAGTGGTGAAATCAGAATTGTTTCTGCTCAAACCATAAAAGGTAAAAGTAGAGACAGCAATAACCAGAACAGAATTGAATTCGGGAAGAATCGATTCAAACTTGATTGCAATGAAGTATGGAAGTATTTCGCCTTTTCAAATTCTAAAGCTAAATTCCAGAAAATAAACAGTCTTAAGTGAATGAAAAGTGACTTAAATAACTCAAGACCTGAGCCAGAGCATGCACCCGTATCGGAAGAGAAATGAGCTCGACCCTCGTCTGCAACGAAGCTGCACTTCAACCTCTGTTTAATCATGAAAATTCATGTTACTTTAACCAAAAATGAGATGAAGAGGAGGATATATATGTATATAAACACAAAACGCGAGCGCAGTGTGCAACTACAGTTATGAAGCAGAGGTGTTTGAATAAATGTCTGAAAGAAACAAGAACTGGAAACGGGCTGAAATGTGTACCTCTGGAGCAAGAAAGGATTTCAGGCGAGATAGCAAGGTCTTTCCTTTGGAGGAATGCGACAACGCCGCCATGCAAAGGAGTTTGATCAGCGAAAAGAAACGGTATCTGGTTTTCTTGGGTGAAAATTTGAGGAAGAGGGAAAAGGAAAGAGCCTAATTTTAATTTATGTACAGAGACGGGGATTCTCGCTAAGAACGGTATTTGCAAGATTAAATTTGAATATACACAAATTAATTTAACTAATTTAAAATTTTCTAAATGCCAAACCTAATTACAAATAGGGTACCAAATCTCATTAGGACAGTTGGTAGCTAATTTTTACCAATCTAGGGTTCGAGTCTTCCTTCATCTATTTCCCCTTGTAGTATGGATTTTAATTTACTCAAAAAAAAAAAGTTTACAAATAGGGGTAATATGCCTCACATTCCTCAAACGAAACATAATTAGGTATGAATAAACATTTTATCTACATTCTTACCTAAAAAGAAAAATTTATATACATCCTTTGATTTTAATTTAACCCGAAAATACCCTTACAATAACTAATAAAAAAATCGTTGCTCTTTTTTTTCCTCATTTTTCTCTTTCTCTCTCTCTCTCTCCATTTCTTCCACCGTCCCAGCCCCTCCTCTTCTTTCTGTTACTCATTTTCTCTCTTTCTCTCTGTTTATCAATCATATGTCGTCCCAACTCCTCTCATTCTCGCTCTCTTTGATTCTTCATCTTTTCTATTATTATTAACATATCTGAGTTTAATAAATTATTAAGTTTTGTTTATGATAATATGGTTATGGAGGCTATGACGGTGGTTATGGTAGGTAGAGGTGGCGGCTATGGAGGCGGTGCATATGATGGTGGTGGTTATGGAGGTGATTTCGATTTCGGTGAGGCCGATGGTGGTCGCGATTACGGTGGAGGTGCTTGTGGTGAAAGGGGGAGGCGGCTATGGCGGTGGTGGTTGCGGTTATAGGGGCGACAATTATGGTGAAAGCGGAGGCGGCTAGGGTTTGGTGGATATGATTTGGCGGCGGATAGGAGTTGTTGGCTGCTAGGGTTCCGTGAAGGCTGAGAAGTTGTAGCTACTAGGGTTTCGCGGTGGCTGAGGAGTAGTGGCTGCTAGGGTTCGGAATAGTACACCATAGTGTACTACAATCTGTTGAGGAGGTGTGGCTGTTAAGGTTTGGAATACTACACCATAGTAAATCATAGTAAACAATACTGCACTTTAGTATACTACAATCAATTGTAATATATATGAACCAAGCCCAGGCGTGCCATGATTCATGTTTTAGATGCCTATAAATTATGAAAGTGCCTATGATTGACTATACAAAACTATATATATTTATCGACAAAAGATAACAATACAAAATAATAAAAAAAAAAATTACGTAATTTAAATTGAAAAAAACAAATCGTAATTTTCAATATTATGTAGATTAATAAATAAAAACGATATTTTTATAATAGTGTAAAAATGCTAAAATGAAAAGAAGAGAAAATAAGATCTTTTTTTGGCTGTTTTTTTATAAAAAAAACTATATTTTTTTGGCTGTTTTTTTTTATGTCTTTTTTTCATAACAAGTCAATGTAATTATATTATTGGCGTTGACAGTAAAATAACTGTAAACACAATAATATTACAGTCAACCACATCAATATTATTTTTTTTTTGGGGTTTTTGTTTTGTTTGAGTTGTTGACGGAGTAACGTAATAATATTATTGTCTAATATTGTAAACACAATAATATTACTGTGGTTGACGGTAATATTACTGTTGTTTAATTCTTTTGGCTTTTTATTATGTTTATCTTTGTTGAACGGTCAACATATTAATATTACTCTATTACACAATAATAATGACTTGGGGCAATTTGCTATAGGTCATCCTCTAAGAGATTATATGTATTAAAATCCATCTAATAAACTCTAATTTCCAGCAGATTTTATTATTCGTAATTTGTCAAAAATACCCCTATCAATATATGGTAAAATAAATCATCAAAATCAAATCCCCTATTTTTCTCCCTATATTATACAGCAAATCCGAAAATTAGGACTGCAAATCTCTTGATATCGATTCTTCCCTGTTTTTTCAAAACCAAAATCTCCACAAATTTTGAAGTCTTCCACTACTAGAAAATCATGAATTAGCAACGGATATTAGAGACGAATTACAAGTTCGTTGCTAAGCAAAGAATTAGCGATATAATTAGCGAGGGATAGAAAAATCGTCCCTTTTCTTATAAAGTTTCAACAGTAGTTACGGATGTTAGTGATGGATAACATATCCGTTTCTACAATAAACATTTAGCAACAGATGTTGCAACGTACTATTGATCCCTCGCTAATATTTTTATAAAGGAACGAAAATTGTGAAGGGCAAAAATCAATTTCTAAACTAAAATATTTTATTAAAACAAAAAAAAAACCAAAAAAAAAGGAAAAGATTTATGAGTTCCCAATCCCACGTTCCTCTCTTTTTCCTTATTTATTTATTCTTATTTAGCCCACCACCACCACCAACCCCCACCCACGTAGGCCCACCACAAAGTTTAACCTAGTTCTTCCTCTATTCCTACTCTTTTATTCTTCTTTGTCTTCCGACAATTTTCCAGTTTTTCACTTTCATTCTTAGCACAAATATAAGAAAAATGTGAATTTCTCAAAGGAGATGATAATGGTGCCGAGAAATCCGTGAGATGGTTGTACGGGATGGTGAAGAATAGACCGTGTTGTTTCCTTCGAGTAAGTCTGATATCTACAGATAATGGTGAATGGATTTAATAGTTATTTTTAACATATATTTAATATTAAAATTCTAGTTTTGTGATTAGATAAATTTATGCCCATTTTAATTGCTCTCAATTTAGTTCCTAATTTGCGAAATAACTTAATATATTAGATTCTAATTGCTGAGAACTTCAAGAGTCAAAGTGAGAAATGTGTTCTTGCTGATTTGTTCATTCCTAGGCTGCAAATGGACTGCAAAATGCCAAGACCCAGAACCTATATCATATTATATTACAACCAATCTTGTGTTTTGTATGAAAGAGATGTTGTGGTAATATGTGTATGCAGAGTACTAAATATATTTTATAATTGGTTGCTCATATTAATTGGTCCACTCTTGGCTGAATTACCTTTTTGTAGGACTCAAGAGCTCAGGTGACTACCATATGTCGAATAATAGGAACAATGCTGAAGATCCAGTCTTCGTGATTGAGAATGTAGATGAATTGAAATAGAAGGCCAATGGGGTAAATTATTGTTCACCTTTATAGTCACAATATTATAATTACACGTTCATCTTAAATAAAATTGGATAAAGCTGTATTGAGTTTCTGTATAATTTTATACGCAGCAAACCATTTTTAGTACATAAAAATAAAATTGATTTGTCGCATGTTTATTTTTCCTAATTATGTCTTTAGTTTTATACAGACTTGTTGAATAAATCGGAGAATAAACATAGAGTTTTTAGACTTGAAAGTGCACAAGTGCAAATTTCATGTTCTTTTAACATTTTAACCACTGAAAATCTAGCTTAATTGTTTGGTTTGCAGGTTGAAATTGTTGTTTTGTGTCATGGCTAGCTTGCATCTAAATGTGTTAAGAAGATAATAGAGGTATCTTCTTAACACTTCAATTTATTTATATTTTGTTTGTTGTTTTTGGGAACTCAGTGCATATTTTTGTTTATGCATTCTCTTTCCTATTTGGTAAACGGATTTGTATAAGTTTGAAAGGAAAGTGAGAGCAAAAACAAAATTTCTTCTTCAACTTTTAGAAATAATATTCATCTTTGCGAAGTCATTCATCTTGATTTTTTTTTTGTGATCTAATGTGTATTTATTATGTAAATTTGTGTTGGATCAGGCTAAATTTAAGACAAAGAAGTATTGTTTAGATGACGAAGTCTGAAACACAAGTTGAATGAGAAGGAAATGAAGTTGCAAGAATAATAAAGGAAGAAAAAGAAGACGACGATAATGGAGATAGAGACTCTGTTGATTACGAAGGAAATGAAGTTGCAAGAATAATAAAGGAATAAAAAGAAGACGACAATAATGTAGATAGAGACTCTGTTGATTACGAAGGAAATGAAGATGCTTTATAGGATTGGACTGAAATTTTTGATTTCGACTCTGTCGATACTTTCGAACTTTTGCTACAATCTGTAATCAAAATTTATGATATTTGTATTATTGTTTGTTGAATTGTTTTATGTAAAATTAATTCTCATCTTTTTTTATTTATATATAATATGTTCAAATCATTATCAAAATATGGGATTCATTTATTAAATTTTTTTATTAAATTTAATGTAGTTTTGCAACGATTTAGTAATGGATGAACCCCTCTCTGAACGGAATATTTCTTTCAGTTAGCGACGGATTTAGTGATAAGTTAGTAATGGATCAGCTGCAAATATATTATGTTTATTGATAGAGGTTAGCAACGTCATTTTTTATTATTAGTGACGGGTTATTCCGTCGCTAATGTTTAGCGATAGATGGAGCATAGTCGTAGCTAAATTTTAGCGACGCGTCATTTAGCGATCTTTTGAGCAACGGACACTATCCGTCGCTAAATCGTAAGTAGCGACGGATTTTAGTGATTTAGCGACGTATATGTCCGTCACTATATGACAATTTTCTAGTAGTGTACGAACGCCGCGCCACTGCCGCAACCGCCCGCTTTTGTCTCTGTAAAATGCAAATAGCAAACTAATAATTAAAACTTGCATTATTGAATTTAAAACAAAAAACTACCTATGAATTCACCAAATACAAACAATAAATCGAACAAGTAAAAAAATCAGCATCATCTAATTACAAACAATAAAATGAAAATATGATATGCAATATGTAAATGCAAATAATAAAAATTAAAATACAGAACAAAAATGTCATACATATCATAAATATGAAAAAAATAACAATAAAATTATAAAAAATATTCTATCAATGCAAAAATTGCAATTTGCAGTTTGCAACAAAATCTACTGTTATCGATTGCAATTTGCAGTTTGCAACAACAATTTGATTTTGTTGTTTCATTATTTTTTTTTGCTATTTATTGAACCAAAATCAATTAGAAATACAAACAAACATTATAAATTCACTACAGATAAATACAAAACGAGAAAAAAAAAACTCACCTTGTGCAAGCAATGAGCGATTTATGTTCGTTGTCCGCTTTTAACTCTTTCACCGAAAAATCATCTAATAATGTAAAGCTTCAATTTTTTTTCCTTCCCTACAACATAATCCAAAAGAATTCGAATTCCAAAGGAAAAAAAAAACCGAACAGATATAATCGAGAAAGGGTATAGAGAAAGAAAGAAGTTGATCGGAAAAAAAAATCGAAAAGTGTTGATCGAAAAGAAAAAAAATCAGAAGAAAAAAGCCGGAGACACGAGATGGAGATGGAGAGGAAGAGAAATATGAGAGATTATATAGGAAGAAAGATACGTAAGATTGAAGAGAAAGAGAGTGTATGAGATTTGTTTTCTTATTAATTGAGGGTGTTTATGTACATATACTAATTATTTAATTTTATTTATATTATTTTTATGTGATAAAGGACCCATGCCTATATTCATCTAGCAACTAGGATCTCTACCTATATAAGTCCAGGGGTGTCTAGCCAATTTCCCCTAATGACTTATGTTGTGTTAAAATTAATGTGCTAGAGATTAATATAACAATATTGTTGTGTTAAACTGTAGTAGTTAATATTACTGTCAACCACAGTAATATTGTTGTTTAAACGGGGGCAAAAAGATGTTAAAGAAAAAAATTCAAAAAAAAAAATAAGTCAACGCCGAAGACCGGCGGCGACGGACGAAATTGTGCACTTTTATTTTGTACAAACATGTTTCATAATGTGCATACAGATATAATATATATAGTATGAGGGATGGTCATATTGTAGTTTGCAAGAAATATGTTATATTTTTCTTTGATTGAGTAGAATGTATAGACTAGTTGAACATGTAGAGTCCAATATTGTATCAGCTAAAAACTCGATCGATGCATGGAGAGACTCTATTTTGTACAAACATGTTTCATAATGTGCATACAAAGCTAATTTTAATTGGGTTGCGTTTATCGTAAAGAATAAATTAAGAGGGTAGTCAGGATACAAACCAATTCATTTTACGAAAAATATCCACAAAGTTTTCGATGTGAATCTTAGTGACCATATTATTTAGATGGGTAAGGAAATAACAATGCATAATACTATGGGGTTTATTGAGAGCGATAAATCCTGAGTGTGTTGCAGACTATGAGATTGATCCTGTTAGTCAGCAATTTATTCGATTGTTTATTAGTTTTGGTATTTATATATACATGCATGTAAACCTATGATATTTTTGTATATAGAGTTGTTGATTCATAAAATAACAATAATTCAGAATAATTTTGCACAAGGCTAAGACCGTCTTTAATTTCTTTTAAGTGTCATGCATGATTGGCCAACATCATTGGAAAGTGCAGAACAACAATAAAGATATTTATCCATTCCCAAAATTAATTATAGTTTATTGTCAGGACTTCAAGCTAATAATTAATATATTTATAAAACTTTAATGAAAATAATAAGACAGAAAAAAGGAAAAAAGGTTCGCGAATATTAAATCCCATCACGTTATGTTTGCTGTGGACAGACGAGCATCGATTTTAATTGCTTTTGACAATCATATTTGTTTTTTCTTTCAATCTGCCCCTCCTATTTTTCAGTTTTATTTATTTTTTAATTAATTGGAAAAACTAAAAAAAATAAATAAAAGAAAAAACAGATCTGTTTGATTAGTGCTGAGCAGGGCATATATTGCCATTGTTGAGAGCAAGCAAATAATACGGTATTTCAGTTAATTCCGTTTTCTATTCTGTCCGCGCAAACTAATTTATTCCCTCAAATCGCTCGCCGCTTCCCTCATTTGACCCTTTCCTTTTTCGGAACTATACAATCTTTTCGATCCACTTTAGGCACCGTAAATCAATTGTTCTATCATATTCCAATTCCGTTGCTTTTTTGCTCCCGTCTGCAGTAAGACTGTTTGATTTTGATTTTTTTTTTTTGGGTTTTTTTGGTGGTGATCGGATGGGATCAAACTGAAATATTTTTAAATTTTTCGTTTTTTTTACAGCAAAAGTAGTGAAAAATGGACAAGGCAGATCTTGCCCAGAAGCTGTATAACAAAATGCGTCTGTGGGAATTCCCGGATCAATATGTTGTGGAGCCAACCGACGGCTCCTCTGCTTCCTTGCTCGCCATCAATCGTGTCGATGGCTCCATCAAGCTTATAGGTTTTTACGATTTTTTTGGTTGTAAAATTTGATTAGTGTTTGATGTTGTGGGATGGGGAAGAGGGTACTGTTTTTTTTACGTGCTAATTGTTTTTCTTTTTCTGCTCTCCTGTTGTACAGATGACATACCTCAATCCACCTCGCTTCGTGTTCCTAAAATTCGGACGATCTATGGCGTGGTTGGGATGCTTAAGCTCTTAGCAGGCAAGTTCTATGGCTTCATATATTCTTTTAGATGATTAACAATTAATGGCTGATGAGAGACTAATTCTTCCTTGTGTCTTTGCCTTGAGGTTTCGAGAGCTTTCTTCTGTAGATCTATTAATATGTATAGTGCCTGAGATCACGATTATTCATCTTTACATGAATTTTTTGTTGAGTACTGGTTAAGATCCGCTTTTCAGTGCGTGCATGACACCATTGCTTCTCTGCATAAGTTTGCATAAACATAAATAAGTAAATGGTTATAAACAAAATACTTTGGCATTGGTAGGTATTAACTTAAGGTGGGGAATTTTATTTTACCTTTTCTGAAGTTCAGAAGAGAAATTCCTTAGTGTGAATTTGGGAAAGCGTCAACTCACTTCTTGTTCAGCGATTGGGTATCTTCTGGTGTTTTTGCCAGTGTGATGCTTGTCCGGAGGTTTTCGATCTCTAATTTATATTTGTTCTTTTCAAGCATTTATTTCAGCAATGCCTTCTTTAACAGAGTTATAAATGGCAACTCATTTACACCACGAGGAAATTTCCTCCATAGGAATGCTGTTGCCACTGCCACTGTTAACATAACTGTTAGGGACTATGTGCTGCCATCCAATTTCTCGATAGGGTAGGGTGGAAGTGTGTTCTTTGTGGGCAATATGAAGTCAAATTCTCCTAAAAGAACCCATTGGCCTTCGCCAGTCTTGAAGAGTGATAATTTTTTTTTGTTTTTCGGGTTTGCCTTCTTACTTCTCACATTTCAGTTGTGTTGAAACTCTATTCAAGAGGGAACATTTTGAATATATGAATTAGGCCACAAATTCATTGCTTAGAAACCGATTCAGCTGCCATCATGGTCTTATTTCAATTAAGGCTCACGCTGCTTTGTAGAATCCTATATGAAGATAGTTCTATCTCTACCTACCATCAGCTTTCACTGTTGCCATTCATGCCACAATATTTTCCATTTTGACTCATGGGTTTTGTTTCCCTTAGGCCTGATCACTAAGAACCCATGGAGGCATTTTCTGTGATAAATATGATCAATAACTAATTGTTGCTGGCATGATCCCTTTAAATATACTGGACTGTGTCGGCAATTATTTGAAGGGAGTTATTTCTCTTTTGAAATTTAAAAGGGACGTGCATGCATTTCCTTTCCGAATATAAAGTTTAGCAGTTACTACAGAGGAACATTCCGTCATATTAGTACATAGGATCCGTCGAAATAGCATAGAGAGTTTTTATTATTTGGTCTTGTTTACTAATAATCGTGTTGAGATAATTAAAAATAATGGCATTGATTTCATATATACTACCTTTCTGATGGTGAGTTACTAAATTTATAAAGTTCAGATCATTTTATCTTACACATCAAATCAGAGGTTTTTTAAGTGTAAAATGCATCTTATTATTTTTCTTCATGTCCTTGATAGTACTACGTGGGTTCTGCTATTGTTATAGCAAGTGTCCTCGTTTTGTCATTAAAGGTCTTTACAAAGACCATTCAACTGTCAGCCATGTTTCTTAATTGACTTTAAAAGCAACTACATACCTAATAATCACGGCCAAATTACGTCGGATTCACCTACGTGCTAGGATTTTGAGTTCTCTTAGTGCGAGTTGGACTAACATTTATATTGACACCCGAGCTTGACAGGAATGTTCTTGAGTGAAGTAAACATCCTCAAAGTACTTGATATAAGGCGCAGAATCCTCATAGGTCTTTGTCTATGAAGTAATAATAAAAGAATAGCCTATACCGCATAAGATGTTTAAACTAAAAGAACAAAACATGATGAATTAAGAGATGTTGGTAGCTGATCCAGGAAAAAAGATAAGTAATGATTTCAGATGTTATAACATGTTAGGTTACTACAAACACTTTATTTCATAGGCCTAGCTGCCTCATGCAAGGAGAGAATATTTCCTTTAACAACTTTGGGTTAGAATGAATAAACAGAATCGAGAATTGAGGATCAGATGGCATAAAAGAGAGATTAGTTGACTAATATTCAGTCAAATTGGCAAAAGAGCTCCATATAAGGTTAAGGTTAATCGAGATGTATAAGATTGTTTTAAATAGAAATTCATGTGGTTGATCCTAAATGCTTCGCTTCACTTACATTTAACAATGGCAAAAAGATAGTGCACACTGTATGATGTTCAATGGCCGTTAAGAAAAGGATTGTTGCCTCTTTAGTAGTATGGTAGTCTTAATTGTCTTATCCCTCTTAGTTTCCATTAAACTTGGCTCATGTTTCCATAATTGATGTTCGTATTTAACTTTTCAGGGTCGTATTTATTTGTGATAACTGAACGAGAATGTGTTGGATCTTATTTGGGTTATCCCATCTTCAAAATTACATCAATGAAGGTTTTTCCTTGTGATCATTCTCTAAAAAATTCTCCAGAAGAACAGGTATACTTATATTGCTCGTTTCTCCATGTTATCTTTGGAGCCTGTATTGGGGTTTGTTGTTTACAATGTTACGAACGCATAATTTTTTTAACAGAAGAAGATGGAGAATGAGTTTTCTCGCTTACTAAATGTTGCAGAGAGAACTCCGGGTCTATATTTCTCTTATGACGTGAATATTACATTGAGGTGAAGTTTTTCTCCACACAATGAGTGATTGTTTACATGGTTGTTGGTTAGTTTTTTGTATAAGTTTTCTGTCTACAAGGTTTGCATTTAGAACTCTATTATGATATGCAAGTAACAGATGCATCACATTATGTCCCAAAGTATCACTTAAATAGAATTACGAACGAACAACTATATATGTTTGGCCTTTCAAAATTCTAACATCATCAAATACCTTCTCTACTGCCTACTATCTGTTACTTTTTATTTGATAAATTTTATGTATTTATTTTTTAATTATGTTATGCTTGTATTCGAAGTTTTGTTATGTTTTTTTGGAGTTGCAAGGGCTAAAATTTTGTTCGTCACTGTTCAGAAACTTGTGCTGATACTTTTGCTGGTCAGTTTATATCAGAAAATTGTTTTTTCTTGCAGCGGTCAGCGACTGCATGATCTGGGTGACGAATCAAAGTCGTTACCTCTATGGAGACAAGTAAGTCTGGATATTTAAAAGATGTATTCCATGGACTGTTCGTAAAACTTATAGATCTCAAAATTGTAGTATCTTGTTCCAGTATAGCTTTTTCTTCTTTTTTTTTTGTTACTGATCTTGGCAAATTTATTTGGATTACACCGACTTCTGAAGAGTCAGTTCTGACTCATTATTTTCCCTCTATTAAATTCATTGATCAGGCAGACCCTCGATTTCTTTGGAATAGTTATATGTTGGAAGTGCTTATAGATAACAAGGTTAGCTTACTGACCTTGGAAAGTTCCTTTAGATTTTTTCAATCACTTAATATTACATTGTTTTGTGCAGCTTGACCCATACCTGCTTCCTGTCATGCAAGGCAGTATCCTTTTGAATGTCCCGATGCCCTTGTTCCCCATACTGAAGTATGATTATGCTAACCATATTTCTAGCTAAACCTTAACTTTTCATCAGCTTTTCAGAGCTTTCAAGCTGCCATTGGGAAAGATATCCTTGATGTTGCACTGATTGCACGAAGATGCACTAGGAGAACTGGTACACATATAAAAATGCAATTTGAAAACCCTTACTCCGTTCCCCACTCTCCATCTTCTTTCTTTTTTTTGTTTGGCGCCCATCATCACAGGATGATGCTGACTAAACAATGATTAGTTGAAGCACAATTCTGCCTTTCTGTATGTTTGTGTCTAGCTTGCATGTGAGCTGACAACCCGTTAGCTTCCTTGAACAAATGATACAAGTATTTTGTATCCATTGCCTTGTGTAGCATAATCATATATCAACGACCCTTTGCAGTGATTACATAAATAATATTTACCAGTATTATATATTCCAGCTGTCATCAGTAGTGGGTTTAGGTTTTCTCTTTTGATACAATTTAATTAATGCAATAAGTTTAATGGTTAATAGTCTTTTCAATTTATGTTTGCGATTCTGTCTATGAAAATTTGCTGAGAGAAGAATATTTTTTATTAGGATTCATTAATTGAACTCTCGTGCTTGCTCCGATGTTGGAAGAGCTAGTTCTACTTCGAAATTCTCCCAAATACGAATTATCATTTATGCATTGACTAACACATTGGTGAACAGATTTGTTGCATTTTCTGAAATTAAAATTTGAGATGATATTATTCTCGCCCATCTCAGTGTGCCAAAGATATTGATTCTATTTACTTTCGCTGACGTGCTAAAATGGAGAACTTCTTGTTCTCATGTTTACACTCAGTTCAAGTAACTACGGGATTCATCAACTCCTAACCACTTATTTGGAGAATAATAGTGTACAAACTTACTTTTGTAATTTTAACTCTACCAGTCAAATTAGACCCACTGTTAGGGTGGTGGGAGGAGTCAATTGGACTTCCAGTTGGTTATAATTTTCCATATTTCTGAAGGCACACGAATGTGGAGAAGAGGAGCTGATTCTGATGGTTTTGTTGCAAATTTCGTGGAAACTGAACAAATCGTCCAGCTAAATGGGTACACTGCATCTTTTATTCAGGTAAATTCTCGATAGACCTTAATGAAATTTATTTATTGTTGTAATACAGTCTCTTCTATTGTAGTGTTTTTAGGCATTACTCTTTGTTCTCTACAATGATGAGATGCTTCAAGGTGCTTCATTCACGTAAAGAGCTTTTGAATAAATCGTTTACATTAATCATGCTCTTGGACTGCGTGTCAGTAATTTCAGTTAATAAGTAAAAACATAAGATACATAGCATCGTTGTTGTAAAAATCTTAAAAAGTTTTATGTGTTCCACGAAAGCTTAGACTTTTTTCCCTTCACATCTATCAAATCAAGATAAAGTTGACCTCAATATGCTTATTTACTAGAAATGACATTGACGAGAATGCTTTTACTTCCTCATGAAATATCTGTGCTTAACACGATATTTTCGTGAAAGCTATGCAAGGAAATGTTTGGCATCAACATAGACCTATTCAAGGATGTGTGAAATTAGTAAACTTTGATTTTGTATCACAGGTGCTATGTTTTGAAGGTGCAAGATTACATAGCCATGCACATCAGTTAGTTAATGGCTTGATAACCTATATCTGACTTGCCACTTAGGTAGTAGATATTTACTTGATATCACATATTAGGGAGTGGATATCCATTTATGTGGATAAACTATATCAAATAAAGTTTTAATGCAGTTTATGGTATTTATTAGTTTACTTATGGTAATTTAACTAGCGCGTTATTTGATTATTAATTTCCTCTTCCAGATCCGAGGGTCAATACCATTACTTTGGGACCAGATTGTTGATTTGACATACAAGCCGAAGTTCGAAATTGTGAGACCGGAGGAAGCAGTGAGTAGTTTTCCAATCTTTAGATTATGATCTGAACCTAACATATTGCAGCTGTTTTGCTGACTTCTTTACCTATACATCTCTGCAGCCCCGAGTAGCTGAGCGGCACTTTCTGGATCTAAGAAAGAAGTATGGAAATGTTCTTGCTGTTGATCTAGTCAACAAGGTAAATGGATCTCCATTAATGTTAAATTTTGTTGATTTCCCTTGTAGCTGTAATGATTGCAATTTTGCCTGACAATAACTGGGCCAAATTGCCGATGAAAATTGCTATTTTATCCTGTTACCACCTATAAAATCGTCTCAACTTGTGATGTGTTTTTGATCAATGTTTACCTTCAAACCTAACTTATTTCCTATTTCCTTTTTTTTTTTTTATCCAAACTTCTCTTAAGATAGAAGTTTTCTCTGAAAATCCTTAAAACCCCGTAGTTTCACAGTTTCAGCTTCTCCTTAATATACTTCACTTGTAAAAACTAGTTTTCTCAAATTAGAGGAAAGTAAGCTGCTGTGATGGCTGTGAAAATATTCTGTTAAAGATGATCTAAAATTGACCTTATATTACTGTCGTTTTAAAATAGGAATGCTTTCCTGAGTCCAATAAATAGAGCAAAGTTCAGAAAAAGGTAATTCATCCTAAAATGATCATTGATCTCTAGGTTTATTTGTGCCAGACAAATGTATATCTCATTTGCCGAAGACATCAAGAAGAATCAAATAGATTAGTCAAGAAAAACGCATTCCTCTTATGGAGCAAAATGTGTGTCATACCACATTAATGCTACCTGATCTTCCATGTGATGGCATGAAGACTCATTCCTTTGACTTCAAACACCAGATGCTTCTAACCACTTCTATATCAACAACATCGATCTTGTTTTTCTAAATGAAAGCATACGAATCATGCTTTTCCAATTTTCTCCTTCATTTTCACCTCTTATATCTCTCCCTAAAACCTGGATTCTGATTTTTCATCAATTTTACAATCTTTCCCTTGGTTTGTGAATTCATCTAGTTATCATGAGGTTAAGTTTTTTCTCATGTTTTGGTTTTCTTTATGTTAAAGTTGCATGTGTCCCATATCATCAATTTGTTGGGCTCTTGCAATGTTTATATGTCCAATGGTCACCCTCTCTCCTTGAGTTAGTTTTTGATAGAGCAAGTTTGTAGGCGATGGTTCATTTGGATCCCGACCCATTTGTATGATACGTTACACGTGAGCGGAGTGTTAGTGTTTGCATTTGTCCCATTTGTATGACAACTAGGAAACATCTTGTTACTCTTATCCTCTTCACCAAGTTATTCTAATATTGGTGGATTAGTGATGGTGATATCCGATGTCAAGCCACCAACTACAGTACTTTGTTTCAGCCATATTGTTGCACATAAAGCTGTAAATGGACAAGAACATATGAAATAGTTATCTAAGAGTTATGTTATCTTCTTGAACATTACATTTTCTGGTTTTGGTTAACTTGGTAAATTTGACCTGATCTTCTGAACTTCTAACAGCATGGAGGTGAGGGGCGCTTATGTGAAAAATTTGGTCAGGCTATGGAACCTCTTGCCAGCGATGATGTGAGGTAAGATTATCTTTCAATCTGATCGTTTACTTTTCATTGATCCCATGTGGGTGATCCCTTTAAATTCTAATTACACAACATTTTGCAGATATCTGCACTTTGATTTTCACAAGATATGTGGACATGTTCATTTTCACTCTTTATGAACAAATGGAGGATTTTCTCATTAAAAGCAGGTATAATTATTATGAGGAGGAGCAAAGAGATTTCTTACTTGTCTGTTTTCTTTTGTCAACTACTGCTTGCTTCGTTTATTTATTCAGTTGTATACTCATTGTTTTTTCATAGTATTCTTTGTTTATGTTATAATGTTATAATGATTTCCGGAGTGATAGTTGAGGTAAATGAATTCGATCATAACCGTAAGAACTAGCGTACATGAACTTCCCTTCCTAAAAAGCGAGCATGATACTGTTTTCAGGCACAGAGAAATAGAAAAAGAATAAATCTTGTATCTGGACACTTAGCTAACTGGCTAATAGGGTAAGAACCATTTAGTACACAATTGTGATCTGAAATACAGTGTTTCAGGATTTTTTTGGATTGATGAGATGGTATAGTTGATCTGGGATTATCCTCCTATTCACAATTTGCCTCTAAATCATAACACGACCAAATTTGAGGCAGAGTGAAACTTAAAAGATATTACCATAATATTGAACAGATAACAATGCTTCATTCTATTGGAATGCCGTCTTGAAGTGTGTGAAAGTTGATGTTGATTATTTTTTTCATCATCCAAATATTGCAGTATTGTTGTTATAAAATATGTCTTAGTGTCATTTACTAAGCGAAGGAATTCCTTTGACCAAATCCAGTCCATAATCAATTAATACTTGTTTGATTTCACACATATACTAGAGTATAGAAGTAGCTTGTTAGTTACTGACAAGCGTTAACGAGTTTATGTTTTTACAATTGCTTTTATTCTTAGGTTTTGTGTATATTAGTCATTTAACTTTCTTTTGTTTTATTACCAAATCATTGTTCTAAATTAGATTAAATCCAATCAAATTTCTAGCTATGTTGCCTGGATATTCACTGCTTGTGGGGTATGACAGGTATCTTTTGTTAAATGAGAAGGGGGAGAAAGTTGAAGGGCAAGTTGGAGTCGTGAGGACCAATTGCATTGATTGCCTGGACCGCACAAATGTCACCCAGGTACATTTTCTTTTGTCAGTTGCATAATTTCATGAATCAATTTTAATGCTGTGCGGTTATTTTGCTTCTAAAGTACTTCTCATGTGTTGGTAGATAGAAGAACTACTTGCAGTTACAAGTTTTTTCTTAGTTGATATCTCGGAGGAAATAGATATGGTTCTACTTTTTAGTTTGAGAAATGGAAACATATATATTGAGTGTATGTATTGGAACCAGATACTTTGTTTTGCCTTGCTTGTATTCGCTAGTTAATTTTCTTTCCCAAAAAATTGCTTTCAAGGAATCGGTAGATACTTGGGCTGCATCTTGGCGTAGAATCTTGATTTCTGTACCATTTGTGTTAAATAATGGAGGGATCACAGTCTGCGTGTATATAAAATGCATTTGTTCATCGGTGGAACATTTCCTCTCGAAACTCTTTTAGCTTAAGAGACAGTATACACAATAAAAGAGGTTAAAAACAAACTACTAAGATTCTGTGGTTAAAATAATCAAGTCGATATAACATAGAACCGGACTTCTTTTTGTTGTTGAATCTGGGGCCATTTGTTCTACAATACATTCAGTGCAAAAGAATTTGACATGGGAGAAAAATAAAGAAAAGAAAATGGCATCGGTCTCAGCGATAGGATTTTCCCATCATTTTCCCTTTGTTTTCTGTCTTTTATTTGCAGAGCATGATTGCTCGGAAAATGCTGGAATATCAACTTCGAAGGCTTGGTGTTTTTGATGCTGAGGAAACTATTAGTACACATCCCAATTTTGATGACAGCTTTAAAATTTGTAAGTATCAGTTTGTTAACTAGTTTATTAATTCAGATATACAATAGGCCTAATGTTACTTTAATTAATATTGCAGCATTGGACAATTTTTTTTTTACCTTTATGCTGAGACATCTAAAAAATCTTCATGAGCCTATTATTCTTCTCATACCTTCTCATTCTTCAACTTTAAATTTCAGTGTGGGCTAACCACGGGGATGACATAAGCATTCAGTACTCTGGTACTCCTGCTTTAAAAGGAGATTTTGTCAGGTATATTTTAACAAGTCATTTTCCATGTATAGACATTTTATTTCCGGGTGGTCCATTTAAGAAAATAATAACAGAGTGGTGGGACTTCCGTTAAAGAAGTTATGACTAAATCAGTCTTGAATTTTTCAATTGTTCTTTTATCAGTCTCAAATGAATGTTAATTATTTTGGAATTTCATAAAATGTACATCATTCTTTAATTTATATTAGGCACTTTTATTTAAATTCGTTTCATGTTTAGAATATTAATAAGTTAAGTTTTAGCAGGATAAAAGTCTAGTACTCGTTCAAATAGGTGACCTTGGAGCACTTATATACAGTGTAACCTTTTGTTATTCCTTAAAGGGGAATACATATTAGATAATTCGATTTGTCAAAGAAGCATTGAGCTTTTTGTGGGTATAGTGGCACAATACCAAATCCAAACCCCTATTTTTATTCTCTATCTCTTTTCTCTTTTCCCTCACAATCTTCAACATATAAACTTTATTGTTCAGCTCATTAATATCATATGTTACTAATCTATGCTTTCCCATTGTTATTCATTGGAACCCTAATCACATTGTTCATAGGTTCTATTTATATCCTCTGAACACCATATGAATAGCATGGTAAGTTTGTCTTGCCTCATAAGTCAATTTTTTTTCTTACCGCTGCTGAGATGAAATCTCAAACATATTTGAGTTGGGAACACTCGTAAAACAAAACACCGTGGACTGGTGCGTAATGTGCATGAATTTTTTAAATCTTTGAATTCAATATGGTATATTAGACTGAAGTGCGACTTTTGTGTCCTCGGGCTCTTTTATATCAATAGTATTGCTAATGCCAAAGAATGATAGCATTAGACTGTGTGCGTGAGAGTAGCTATTTTAGGTGGTTGGTCAGTGTTCATACAGAAAATGTATCTGACCCTTGATTGAGTGTTGAGATTGTTGGTACCTTGTTGCAACCTGGCATTCTCTTGACAGCCATTATATATATCATCTCACTTTTAATTTTTATGTAAGCTTCTTTTGTTAGTTTTCTCCTAGTTCTTGATGCTAGTTGGATTTTGACATTCCATAGCAGAACTTAGATGAATCAAGTTAGCTGTTAATTCAGAGACGCATATGATATCTCTAAATCTTTTTTCCTAAGTTTGAAACTTTTTCCTCTAATAACAGATGTGGCCAGAGGACAATCCAAGGGGTTGTGAACGATGGCTGGAATGCTCTCATGCGGTACTACTTAAACAACTTCTGTGACGGTACAAAACAGGTCTGAACGCTTTCCCTTTCCGTACTCAATGGCTTGTAAATTCACCAGCACTAAGTGTCGGCTCTAATTCCTCCTGGAATTGGTTTAGCATTTTCTGGTTCCGCTTATCGGACTGCATCCTAGTTCAGATATCTCTTTCTGATCTGGTTTCAGTTTGTTTTAGCATATGCTAGACTAGAAGCTGAATTTGCCAATTTTCGTCCTGCAATTTTAGTCATCAAGTCTCTCCTAATATGATTAATTATTATTTGGAAAATCATGCTTATCGAATTGACTTATTCATATGAAATCCTGATAATTTTCCCTTTGCTTCCCGCCCGAAGGATGCAATTGATTTACTACAAGGACATTATATTGTTTCTGTTTCTCGAAGTATGACTCCTACAGCACAGAAAGGCGGCGTTGAGGCTATGGCTGTAAGTAGTTACCAGCTTTCTCTCCTCTTCTAGTTATTTATAAATTCAAGTTTATTTCAGTAAGATATGTCAGCATACTTATTTGAATATCTGTGAGACAACTAGTGTGATATGAATTTCTCGTTCAATAATCTTGGTATTTTTGGGCTGATGTTGGTTTAGTTTTAGAAAATAAACAATTTTAGTCATCCTAATTTTATGAGAAGCCGATGTTTCTTCCGTGCCATTTAGCTAATAACTTACTAGGTACCTGGATACAGGTCTAAGTTTAAGTTGACAGCTTCAAACTCTGAGATCTCACTGAAAAAATTAATGATGCAGTGTACCCATTAATATAGTTTTAGTGATCGAATATTTCCAGGAATATTATCTATGAGTGCATCCACATGAAATCATTGTAAAAGATCTAATGGCTAATCTACTTAATTAATGTACTTCTGTCGTAGTTATGGTTAGAGGGCAGTTGGTCTTCATATTTGTCTGCAGAAGACTTTTTGAATTCATTCTATATTAGCTGGGATACTAGTGTTTGTAGTATCTCAAATCGAACTTTGTCATTCGTGAAAACCGAAGTGTTGGAAATGTGAATTTCTTAAATATATATTATCTCCTTCTTTACCTCATTTGTCCTTGCATTAGTTCCTTGTGAGAATCTTCTGCTTTAGTTTTCACCAGATAATGAATTACGAGTGATGTTGTATTATTTCTTTTTGCAGTCCTTTCCACTGGCTTTTTCGCTGATTATGACTGGATTCTTATTTGCAACAATGTCACTAAGACGAGGTCAGATTTTCTGCTTGTAGTTTTATTTTTACTCTTCCTCTTGTTTGCTTACTCCTTATTTGTCCTTGGTCGTAGTTAACTTACATATTCGTGATTTTGACTTTGTTAGATGTAGTGGGCCTTTGAGTTCATTGAATTATGGAACTGGCTTTTTCTTGCATGAAGAAATTCTCATATATTGATGACGATTTGTATGCTCTCTTCTATCATTCATTGTATATCTAAATTTGGAGTCGAAATAGCTATCATGCATCTTTTAGAATAGCAAAAGAGTTCCGAATATGATTTTGTGGGGCAGAAAAACTGAAATTATTAAGGCACGACAACAATGGAAAGAAAATCGAACTAACTATTTCATAATATGAAGAAATCATAAAAAGTTGGATAGGATCAACTACTATTGAAACAGGATTAGTGAAGGATGCCTGTCCCTGGTGTCAAAAAGTAGAGTTGTCTTCTACCGATGAACTTCTTTCGAGTATTTTCCTACTTCACTGACCAAACTAATTCTTTCCGTAATAGTTTTATTGCTCATAAATTTAACTTGTATTTCTAAGTGATATCTGGGAAGTTCTTACATAGAGCTTATTCTATTAGTTTTTGACTGTCAGACTTGCATTTATAATCTCATGTGTACTGACTAGCATCTTTATTAATTATTTTGCAGTTCGTTATGACATGTGGAATTTATTGTTTTCGATGATGTGGGCGAGCATGAGTTTGGTTATAGCAGCATTTGTTAGAGCCAATGGTCGTGTTTTCTGTAACCGCCCTCGACTCCATCAACCTAGGCGCTGATTGATGATTATGGTTCCAAAATTAGCTGGCACTTGCACCAAGATTCATCAAACTATTCTTCTAACCACACTGCTCATGAATCTATCTATATTTATTGTTAAGTTTTGTAGTCCACATTCTTTCCTTGTCAAACCCTCGTCTATAATCTCTATTCGTTAAATTATCTCCCCATATTTATGGTGGTTGTTTTTGCACTGAAGAATATAAATACCAGTACAATTTACATTCGTTCACATTTGTAATTTGTACTAATTTTGCTGAATTTTTTTTTCGTCCATTTCTACGAGTCTCGGTTCTGTTATTTCATGGATGATGATCACATGCTTTCGCCTCTTAGCCCACTATTTTTGTGAATGTTGTCAAAAAATGAAAATGAATTGGTTTGTGTAGTGATCCTAGCTTTGTTTCTTGGATGAACGTTTCTGCAAACACGGAACATTCATTTCAAGAACTCAAATCAGAATGCAGGTAAACATTTAATCGGCAGGCAATCAAGCACAAGTGGTGTTCGACAAATTGACCAGCAGAAATTGGAGCCAAAGGCACTGGATTTGCAGCATTTGGAACAAGAACACAAATATAATGTGATGTTGGAATAAGTCATTGACCACTTTTACAGTCAGGTGAATTATTATTAAAATTGTAACATTGAAAAATTTCGTATGGAAAGACTAAAATCATCACATCTGCTTCCTTCTCCTCTCCAGCAAAGGAAACACTCTCTGGTAGTTGAGCACCGCCCACACCAAGTGCCTTAACCCAATCTCCGGCCACAAAGCCCTCGGTGAATACAAAACACAGTTCGAAGTCTGCCAAAGCAAGAAATTACTCAATCGAGTCTCCCCCGAAGTTCTCACCAAAATATCTGGATCAGGTGCCACTCCCATATACATGTGCCTCTCTATATCCACCACCTTTAATTCCTCTTCGTTCCCTTCGCGGGCCCCACTAGATCGAACCCGAGCCCGCTTAGCTTCGCAAGATTCTCGAGCAGCATGCACAATCTCATCGGTCGAAGTGTAGGCCACGCATATTAGCAGCACAATCTTGTCGTTGTTCGAAGTAGCTTCCATAGCCTTTACAGCAGCTTGTCTTACATGCTCGTTTAATAGCTCCAAATTTCCGATGAAATATACCCTCACTCCGTATTGGCTCACTATACTCTCTTCCTTGAGCATCCCTTGGATTTTCTCGAGCATTAAATCCATCACAGCATCGACTTCATGGGGTTTTCTTTTGAAATTGTCGATGCTGAAAGCGTATATTGTTACGTATTTCACCCCGAGCTCACAGCAGTACTTACACAGAGTCATTAGAGATAAGAAACCGGCTCTATAGCCCATTCCTTCATTCAGGTTCCGTTTTTTGGCGTATCTTCGATTTCCATCTAATATGAAGGCTATGTGGTTTGGGATGGGACCCACTGAGAGGATACGGAATAGAGATTTTCGCATGTAGCTAATTGAACTACCGAATAATCTTACTGCAAGTGTATCTGTCTTGTTCTCCATTATTATATATATCTACTCAGTTGGCCAAAATTAACAAAAGAGAAATGTTAATGAAGAACTCGAAAATGGACAATGTAGTGTTCTTGGTATATAAGCAATTAGGCATGACAAATCGAATTTATCTAAAGATCATACAATTAAGAAATGAAATCTACGGCTAAAAAGATGAATACGAAGACAGTGAAAGTGAGACGAAACCTGGAAATATTACGAATTACGCGTAAGGAAAGAAACTCCTATTCAAGAAGAAAGAGAGCATACTATTTGCTCACAATTTTAGTTTTGATTTATTTAATTATTTATTTTTTTAACTATTAGGATATAATTTCATGAAGGGTTCGGCTGCCACACAATCTTGATGTGAGCGTGAAAAATTCTTGTTTTTGTTAATAATGAAAAGATTGAGAGCAAGATGGAAGGGTAGCCGACAATGGCAATCACAGTTTTGGTGTGATTTGTTGATTTATTGCACTTACTACGGAATTACATTTTATAATGATTTCTTTTGTGTTTTCTGGTATTGGATTTTATTTATTCATTTTTCTTTCTTCCATGACGGTTAACTTATAATTTTGTTATAAGTTATAATTTTACGGAGGCAATTGATCGTAGTAGTATTGATGCAAGACTAGGTGTGATGTTGTACATAAATAATTTTTTTGTAAAAAAATATCGTTTCGGTGCCTTTCAGTTGAAATGTGCTAAATATAGGTTGATCACAAGCGTTTTTGGGTGTCCGAAAGGCTGAAGTCATTCATATTCCGTTCTAATGCGCGAATATTATAGTATGGTATGCATCTAAAAGAAATAAGAAAGTAACATAATGAAGCTAATAATAATTAAAAGTGTTTGAAATAGAACAATTGCTTAATTCATATATATTAGAATCTCATTTTAGAAAAAGAATAAAATCATTATCCCCGTGAACAATGCCTAAAATTTGTTGAATATTTTTCATACACGCATGTACACATATTAATTAATAAGGCTATTTGACAAACCCCTCATTGAATTTTGACTTCATGATAAATACATTTTTGTAATTGATTTTTACTATAAATCCAATCAACCCAAAATAACAAAAATACCAATTTCACTATATCGAGAAACAATCATGTGATATATGCAAATCGTCCCCCATTTTAATTACACCGTAATCTCCTCCAAAAATCTTGCCCACGAATCTCGCTCACACTCCACCCACAAATCCCAGCTATCCACCCACACACCGAGATTACCCAACAATGGAGATCGGTCGCTGTTGAGAGGATGAAGATACAAATAGCAACAAGAAAGTATTAAGAGGCAGAAAGCCCCAATTTTTGTTTTGTTGTGTTGGGATAACTGTTCTCCTTTTTATTTTGTTGTTTAGAATTAGGGTAAGGGAGCGGCTAAAACAAATACCGTTTTTTTCTCACTTTAATACCACCAACATAAGAAATAAAAAATAAATAGATAATAAATAGGTAATGACATTATTAACATTAATGGAAATCAATACCACACGCAAAATTTGTGTAGTATTGATTTTATTAAGGGTATTAACGTCTTTACCTATTTATTTTCTATTTTTTCTGTTGGTCGCATTGAAGTGAGAAAGAAACAGTATTTGTTTTTTTAAGCGTCCCCTTAGGGTAAACCATATTTGTTTACTATGCATTTTGCAATTGTATGACCATGGTAGCATATGATGTTTTGCAATTTAGTGGGTTTTGTGTCTAAATTAATCGTGTTAAGGGTGTGTGACTTTAGTAAGTGTAGTTTTCGTGTATAAGTAAACACACAGTTTGCTCGCATAGTGGTTTTTGCATGTGTGGTTAGGATTGTGTGTGGTTTGTAATACTCTCAATAATAACATAATAAAAGACAAAAATTCAAAACCACTATGTATCAAATATGTTGATATATGTATACTATTTATCAAATTAATCCACATATTGAAATATGAAAACCACAATGAAGAATTGCTATAATACTTACAAACGATATAGGTATTAGAATCGAAAATCACTCTGAATAATTGAGAAGCCGCTTTCCTGCTCACATAAACGGGGAAGAGTTTTGAGAATTATAATTCCCACTACGATGAAACGATATTCTAAATTCAAGGATCGAGATATGTGGGTGTGATTGAGAATGTTATATTAAAGGAACAAATATTACATATATTTATGTTCAACCCTAAGATACGTTATAATAAGGTCAGGGTATAATGACGATACTTAATTAATTTTTATTAATAAAAGACGTTTTGGATTTATCTTAAAAATCCGAATTAAATTTGGGCTCATTCTAATTGCACCTGTTTTGTGAGGGGATTTTGCCAAATTTTCCCTAGTAATTAATAACAAGTAATAAAGTAGAGTCGGAATGTCGAGCCCACATAGCGCATTAATTTTTTTACTTCTAAGTACCTTAACCGCTGCAATTTATTTTTATTCAGTTGCATGCAGCACGATTGAGTTTTGACTAATTATTTATCACAGAAAAAGCAAGCAAACGCTGATTAACTCTCGTAACGGAAGTATATGATCTCATCTTCCTCCAATATGTGCTTGGTTTCTAAAATTTACTCCTATATAGCAAGTTCTCTGAATTGTTTATTAATCTAAAACACTAAATTTATTTTAACCAACTGTCGCAATGAATTACAATCCTAATCCGCACAATTAATCTATAATATGTCAATAAGACTTTGTTAAAAAAACAATATATGAACAATCAAGTTCTATTCATATTCCACACAAACTTTACTTAATGCAATAGAACTTTGATAAATTAAGACCCGATAAATTAATGACCTCGCTTAAATAATATTTTTTTCCGGTCCCGACTTGGAACAGCGTGCTAAAATAATAATTCGCTAAATTTATAAGATAATACACATTCAAAAATTTTAAGAAGCCCCATATAATACATAAATTAATAATGCGTAAAAATAATTCTTAAATTACATAGTACGGTACATATTTTATAGATCTATGAAGGTTTCATACAAGTACATTTAGCACTAGTGTTCTACACAAGCTTACTAATACGGGTATAACTTTCTCTATCGTAAGATGGAACATGACAATGTGAGTGATGGTCATGTGTGTTTTAGTTTCCCTATACATCATTTTAACGTTTTGTCTTCATGGTATTTTGATTCACCGAATTAAGTTATAACTTGTAAGTCATAAGACTACTTTGAACCTATTTAGTTCACAATTTTACATATTTTCATTATTTTGTATGTGGCACATTCTTTTTTTACTGTTGTTTTTAGTTTCCAGATACCTACTATAAGTGTAAATCACCAGAAGTTATAAAGAGAAGTTACATGTGCAAGTTACATGGAAGTTATCTCATACATATAAAGTGGGATGATGAAGTGGGAAGTTAACACTAGTGGGAGGTTGAGAAACCTCAAAGTAGTTATGTTAGGCCGACCCATTTTCCATATTAATTACAACATGCATAATGTGATAGCTGCCACCGGTTACCGCACATGAGATTGCAGCGACATTCTAATCGAATCCAGGCTAATGTGAAGAGAGGTAAGAACTCTTGCAACAAAATTATAATCGAATCAAGGCTACACTGTAAAGAGGTAAGGAAATCTGTTATATCAATGGAATTTTAGTTGTTGCTTTATGTTTCATATATGAATAATGTAGTTTAAATATCTAATGTCTTTTCATGTGTATATTTATACTAAGGTGAGAGTTAATTTTCTTATTGTAATTTTTTCAACATATTAACATTTTCGATATAATGTAATTTGTATAAAATTACATTTGAAGAGCTTTCCAATGATATGCTATGAGCATATATATGTAAAAATGTATTTTAAAATAAACCGTTTTAGTTTAAGTTAAACATTAGATACCTAAAGTAGTTCCAAGTTTTAAATTAGTTCTCATATAATATTTATTATGTAAATTCCACAAATATGAAAATGTAATAATGTAAACTCAAACTTATTATTATTTATATTATGTTATATTAATGTATGATAATCTTTTCATATATTATAATTTATTTTGAAAGTCGAAGTTTATTTTCTTAAATTCTAAAATAAAATGTATTTCATACAAAATATGTAAGTGAAAATTATCAAGTTAATTATGATTATTTAGAAATAACAAAATAAAATAAAAAATAAATATTTATAACCAACATAGAAATATGTCTAGGTATAAGATAGAATAGTTGTGAATGACTAAGATTGATTTTAAAATATCAAGGTTAAAAAATATTCATAAAATTTATTTGTTATCGTTATTTATGCATTGTATTAGTATAAGTGATTTAACCACAGTCAACATGTAAGAAAATAATACATAAAACATAAATGTTAATATATGTTACTTACTTTTTAGTAAATATAATTTTAATGTCGAGGACCTGTTAGTATACTACAAAATATGTTAAAAGTTGTTTTTTTCTTGGTTATCGTAATTGTTTTTATACATTAAATTTCAACAATATTTTTTCTTTAAAGTTACATTTCAAGAGTTTCCCAATGATCTTATAATATTATAAGCATATATATGTAAAAAATTATTTAAAATAAATCCTCTTGTTTTAAGTTAAGGATTAGATACCTAAAGTAGTTTCAAATTTTAAATTAATTCTTATATTGTTTTTGTTACATAAAATCCACAAATATAAAAATATAATAGTAAACTCAAACTAATTGTTATTTACTAATACCAGTAATAATAATTATATTATGTTATATTAACAATATGATCATCTTTTAATATATTATAATTTCTTTCAGAAGTCAAAGTTTATTTTCTTACATTTTTAAAGAAAATTTATTTTATATAAAACTCATAATAGAGTTTTTCAGTGATATATCATAAACATGTAAGTGAACGTCCATGTAAAAAAAAGTTTAGCTGAGTATTAGAAACTTAATGTACTTTTGATTTTCAAATTGATGAACTTTTCATTGTTGATGTCAAGTTAATTAATGAATATTTAAAAATAGTAAAATAAATTTAAAAATAAATACTCATATAGAAGAAATATGTCTAGAAAAAAAGAATAGTTGTGAATGACTAAAATTGATTATAAATATTGAGGTTAAATGAATTCTTAATTTTATTTCCTGTCATTATTTATGCATTTTTTTTTGAAAAAGGGAGATATCATATATTAGGCAGCAAAGGCCAAGCCAACAGGAGGTGAAGAACCTTAAAAAAAGTTTTCAACAGAAAGAGAAGCGAGAGAGTGCGCCAGGCTATTGCCTTGCCGTCTAATAAATGAAAAGGAACAAGAAGAAAATAAACGGAAATAAAAATAGCATTCTTCGATCATCGCTCCAAAGGAATGAGAGGAGGATTCATTAGCTTGGAAAATATTGATAAGTTGTTGGCAATCTCCTTCAATCGAAATATGTGTCCACCCCTTAGTCCGGGCAAGTTGTAGCGCATGTAGAATCGCATAAGCTTCGCCTTCCACCGGTTTGACTCTTCCGGCGAGCT